GGATTTAATCGGGGTCTAGGGTTTATGTTTTCATTTAGAGTTGAGGGTTTAGGGCAGAACTGAACAGAGAAGAGAATGCTGCAAAAGTCTAGGAGAGTTACACTAGAACATACCATCTGAACACGAACCCACATGCTCAACCCAAAGAACCTGAAAGCAGTAAGTTGAGAGGGATCTACACTTGATCCGAGGCTTTGGGGCGCTTGGCTTTAAACTCTCGAAGCCCGAAATCCCAAACCCTAAACCGTAAACCCTCAACCCTAGACCCTAAACCCTAACCCTCAATCGGGTTGTGGTGTTTGGGTTCTAAGGCCCGCGCGCCCCAGAACTCGCGCTTGGAAAGCTTTCCATTGCCGTCTTTGTCCCAGGCGCGGAAAGTCGCCTGAAATCCAGCAGTGAACGTTGGTAAAGAAATAATATAAAAATAAGAAGACGATGAAGAAAAGGATCGGAATGATACTTATTGCCAAAAGAAAAGTACGAAGAATAATAAGAAGAAGAATACTAATAATGATAATTAGTAGTAATAATGATAATTAGTAGTAACAAGAATGAAAAACCTGATAACAATAACAACAGTGGCAGCAATCATCATCTAGCAGCAAGTTGGGGTCACGGTTTATGGTTTAGCGTTCAGAGCTTAGCATTCATGGTTTAGGTTTTGGGGGCTTTGCGCTGTGAACAACAATACGCATTGCAATATGCATATTCATGACACGAAGCAGCAGCAGAAGAATAATCACAGCAATCACGGCGCGCGCAGCAGTAGCACGGTTGTCCCAAAGAGCAAATAATGTGCAATGCTGGGCGTTTCACGAGTTTGCGGCCTTTGGATGACTATAGCTGCTTCGGTTGTGACTTGAGGTGGTCTTTTTCGGGATTTCGACCTTTCGAATTTAGCCCCTCCAAAACATGTGCACAAGACTAAGTCGATGCTGATGGCGTCACCCGTCATGGACATATCCCCGCACATTGAAGCGCAGCTTGCATGCCTTCACGATGTCGGCATCATTGGCTGATTCTTCTGAGGTGTAGAATTCCACAAACCTGGGCCAAGCGTGTTGGCATAGCTTTTACTCGGTCCGGGCCCCAAGTGCATGGACATATCAACCCTTAATGTGCCACGGTGTCACGAGCACAAGTTGACTTGCATGCTGTGCGTTCTGCTGTCGTGGCATGAGACTTCCATCAGTGGAGACAGCGTACATGAAGAAATCCTCAAACCAAAGGTACCAACGACTAGGCCACAGTATACACAAAGCTTCCCAAAACCCTCAAATGACCCCAAACCCCCAAATTTTAGGTTGGATGTTGGACTTGGGGTTTTGGGCCGTGGGCCTGGGTTCACATCAACCCTTTACTGACCTGCGGAAGCCTCGTTCCTTTGAGGTCGGTTCTTCAGAGTGTCCAAGATATGGGCCTTCCTGAAAGGCTTTCTGTACGGGTTTAGGGTTTAGGGTTCTATGAGGGCTACGGTCAGGCACTAGAGGCGTATACTAAGGCGCCGAAGATTTAGAATCAGTCTTTGGGGAACAGTGTAATGTACTTAAGGCAGGCATTACTCATCATTGCGACCCCTATATTAGAGCTTCACGGCTTCTTGTCTGACGTCTATGTAGATTCCGTGTACCGTAAGCTCTAAACCCTAAGCTGTAGATACCAGCGTCGGCTGAGTTGCTCCTCGAAGCTGACAATGTCATCGCCATCGGTGCTCATCTTCTTCATAAGACTTGTTACCTTGGTCCAACGCATAGTATAGAAAAAACACTGTACAACCAGTCAATGTGTACATGTGTATATGTATATAAATATATGTATATGTGAGTGTGTGTGTGTGTGTGTGTAACGTACAATGTGTGCGTCTCAAACTGTGTTGTACTATATAATGCACAGCTCCCCATAAGACTCGTTACATCAAGGAAGGAATCTGGAACGTGGGTCCAGCACCAACACCCCAAGCCCTAAACCCTATGCCCGAAACCCGAAAGCCTAAACCCTCAGCAAAAACCTTTGCAACCGAGACTTCGGGGCAGCACCGCGCGCTGGGGCAGAGGGCTGCCGCTTCGGATGTTTCGAGGCTTGGGATTGACGGTTTCGGGTTTAGGGTTTAGGGCTTAGGGAAGTTTAAAGTTGTTTGGAGGGAGGCGGGTGAGAACACACACAAGGTAGACCTTCATTTGTCGGCCTGGAACTTTCGTAACGGCAACCACAACTGCTGCTATCACCACCACGACGACGACCCCACAGCAAACAAAGCAACGACCGCCCAAGGCCCTGCCCACCAACACCCTGCTCATCTCAATGTCCCACACGTCTGAAGAAAGGTAATCACACAGCCCCACGCTGAAGCGAACCTCTGCATAGACATCTGATGTGCCGCGGTACCTTCTGCGTAGTGATCGTGGGGTCAATCTTCCGCAACATGGATCCCAGGTCTTGCTTACCTGATGCTCGCAGAAGTCGAGGATAGTCAGGGCTTGCGATTGCGAGAGCCCCAGAAGGCCCATAAACATCCTAAAATCCCTCTCAAGCCTTTCTCAAAGCCCTCTAAAGCGGCCAAAGCAAGCCCTCTAGTAGCTTTGATCCTACAGTAAGCCCCTAAACCCTAAACCCTAAACCCTACCGTGAGTCTGCTTAGAATGCAGCGAAGGCACTGATCTTCCCTGTTCGTCGAATGTCCATCTGGCGGTACACCGTCCTGAGAAGGTCCACTTTCATCTCCTGGCGGTCTCGGCTTGTCTTGGGATTAGGGTTTAGGGTTTAGGGTTTAGGGATGGGGTTTAGGGTAGCCCAAAACCTAAACTCTACTAGAAGTAACCGTTAGGTGCAGAGGTCAAGAAATGACCCACAAATCCGAAAAGGAGTAAGACGTGATACATCAGTTACATGATCGTTAAAACGGTCGTGGCTCCATGTTCCGTGCTTGGACATTAAGCTCAACCATAGTATCATGAACTAAAAACTACAAAAACTACATCATACACCCTCCTTTGCTGAAACATAGGGGTCGCAAGCGTTGCTAACAGGATCCTCGTGCAACCCTTAGTGTAACTCTACTACTATAAGCCTCAAAACCCGATTCTGATCATCCAAGCCCCTATTCTAGGCGTTTGGCCTCAAGGTTTGGACGCATAAAGCTACCCTAAACCCTAAACCCTAAACCCTCAACCCTAATTCCTAAACCCTAAACCCCAATTCCTAAACCCTAATTCCTAAACCCTAAACCCTAAACCCTACCCGTAGCACCTTGGTCATCTCCTTTGGCTTCTGCTCAGCCACCGCCGACCTGAGGTTGCCAACATGTTCGATTCCTTTTCTGTCCTACCTCTAAGGGCTCCTTGTTAAGGGGTTCCTTTATGGGTCCCTTAAAGAGTTCCTTGTTAAGGGGTTCCTGTAAGGGGCCCTGAAAATGGGTTCCTTTATTAGAGTCTTTTTAATGGGTCCCTTAAAGGGCTCCTTGTTAAGGGGTTCCTGTAAGGGGCCCTGAAAATGGGTTCCTTTATAGAGTCTTTTTCATGGGTCCCTTAAAGGGCTCCTTGTTAAGGGGTTCCTGTAAGGGGTCCTGAAAATGGGTTCCTTTATAGAGTCTTTTTAATGGGTCCCTTAAAGGGTTCCTTGTTAAGGGGTTCCTGTAAGGGGTCCTGAAAATGGGTTCCTTTATAGATTCCTTATAATGGGTCCCTTAAAGGGTTCCTTGTTAAGGGGTTCCTGTAAGGGGTCCTGAAAATGGGTTCCTTTATAGATTCCTTATAATGGGTCCCTTAAAGGGTCCCTTTAGGGGGCTACGGCCTTCACCTCTAAACACCATTCCAGAGCCAAAGCCCTTCAAGGGTGGCGTGGCAACGATCCCAGCCGGACCCGCCATCCAAACCCTGCACCCTGAAAGGCCTGGTGTGTACACCAAGCAGGGCAGCAGTGGCAAACCATGGAAGTGAAAGCGCTAATCTCACTGTTGTGCTGAATTCCATTGCCAATGGCACGAATAATGACAAGAACAGCGATTGCTGGGAGTTTTGCCACTATCTGTCTTAAGGTCTCCCTTGCATACTTTTCTTCTCTTGCGGATACTACTGCTACTTTTGCCTGAGACTCTCTGCCGCAAATTCCAAAGACCCCAAAACATCCCAAAGCATCCCAAAACATCCTCCTCCTGAGCCCTAAAACCTCAACCCTCGAAATCAGGGATCGGATACCTAAGCCCTAAACCCTAAACCCTAAACCCTAAGGATGAGGGGCTGAATTCGGTCCATCAGATTGGAACTCGTCTCATGCTGGAAGGCCTTGGCCTGGGCAAAACTTCAGGCCTTGCTTGGTTTTCAGGATCGGAGGCTTAGGGTTCAGGGTTTAGGGTTTAGGGTTCAGAGTTTAGGTTTAGGGTTCAGGGTTTAGGGTTTATAAGGGGTTTAGGGTTCTTTCGGATTTGGGGTTTTGGTGTGGCTTCGGGCTTTCGGGACCCGGTGCTCGGAAACGGGCCTCGGGTTCGCCTTGAGAGGCTCACCAGGGATACTCTAAGGGTTTAGGGTTTAGGGTTTAGGGTTTAGGGTTTATGGCCAATGCGACGCAAGACTGCCCATATCAGCATGTCACTCCCAACTGGGCAATATTGTTCTGCTGAGCTCCCCACGCGAGTCAGGACTGTGCCTATGACTCCGGGGGAAGATGCGGATGAAGGCTACAGGTCCTCTCTCGCCCCCTCCTTCACACATTAAACCTCGCTGCAGGATTCCAGTCGAAGCAGGCCTGCGGAAACGCGAAGAAACGAAGGGTACTTCACAGTTTTGATCTGAATTAAAACCAACTGTGCAGACAAGAGTGAAGCCATGCCACACTCTTAGCTTGGCAGACCGAACAAAACGATACCCACACACTTTGGCACTTTGCAAGCTCAGGTGTACATCCATCCATCCATCCATCCATCCATCCATCCATCCATGCATACATTCACACATATGCTACTCTACGGACAGCCAAGATGCCAGCGCCATCCCCAGAAAGACGGGTTTGAAGGCGCAGGGCGGCAGTGACGGCGCACTCGTGAAGCTGCTTCTAACTGCAGTTCTGCAAGGCTTCCCTATGCTCCGGATAAGAATCGTGGTAGATGTCTGGCAGAAACGCCGGGAGAAGGAGAAGAGACGTGGGGAGCTGCACTGAATCAGTGAGGGATATCGGCAAGAAGACGCTTCTCATGTCAATGAAATCATTTGGTGAAGGAAATGGCGGCGGTTGTAGGCTGCATATTGCAATGCAGCAGTTCCTGGAGATATCGCCGTGTGCCTGGCAGCCCAAACATCACCGAATCTCAGTAATTGCAGTGATTCAACCTAAACCCTAAACCAAGATCGAAAACATCACACCCACTCCAGGAATCTTCGACTCACCCCAGCAATGTTCAATCCTCCGATACCGGGCTTTGAAGCAACCAGGTAGAAAAAATGAGCAAACTTGAAGTTTTCATAACGGTTCCTCTATGGGACAGGTCCACACCACACAGGAATTTCTGAGGCCCGCACCCTGAAATTGGCTGTGACCAGACTCCTGGAACTTCAGGGTTGGAATTTAGGGTATTCAGGTTGGGGGGTGTTGGATTCAGGGTTTAGGGTTTGGGTTTTGGGTTTTGGGGTTTAGGCTGTCGGCGCCCTGTTGCCTATGCTGCTTCACAGATGCATATAAGATGTTCAACAGTTTCAGCTGGGCGGGGGACATTGCAGAAAAGCGAAAGAATAGCAGCAGCAGCGACAGCACGAAGAAAAAGAAGAGGAATACGAACCAGAGCTACAGCAAAAATTAATCGTAACAACAATACCCCGGAATTGACAAAAAATTGAGGTGTGGAACCCTAAACCCTAGACCCCAAACCCAGAGCCCTAACCCCTGAACCCTAAACGCCAAACCCTAAATTACTATACCCTAAACCAACCCTAAACCCAAAACCCCAAAGAAGCGCCGGACTCGACCGTGAACCCTAAACCTCAAGAGCCTGGGCCATAAGCCTGACGCCTACAGCCTGAACTCTACTCAAGCCCCAAAGCTTAAACGCCCCAGACCCTAAGCCCGAAACCACAAACCCCAAGGGTGGAAGAATGGCCTCCTGCAAGCTGTTGCGGTGGAGTGTTGAGCACACCTGGTGCTCGGAGAGGCCTCACTGCGAAGCAGGTCAGAAAGTCTGCAGGTAGAGTGTATACTCGAAACATCATTAGTATACCATATTCTGGAGTCCGTTCGAACCGATTACATTCTCTTCTGCTCTATTTTAGTCTACTCGAAGATATTCTAACATGTTCCATGATAATCTGTTCTATCATGCTAAATGATATGTACTGAACATGATCGCTAACAATGTACCTTTTTACAGTAGCAGTCTATGCCATGCTAATACTCCAGCTATGGTACTATATTGTGGCATGTTATCTTATCTGTCCTGCCATATTATATCACATTACTGTAAACTAAGTTAGACTAGATCACGATTTTGGCAGACTTTACGATCTTTATGGTACAGCTGTATGATATGATACTATGTTATGTTATGTGTATTACAATACTGCCTAGTATCTTAGTGTCTATTATGCTATGGTTTACTGTAGCATAGAAGGCCGATACTATCCTATAGAAAGCATAGTATAGCATAGCATACTGTAACGGATTGTGATATATACCTGCTGACTTATGCTGCATTATATCATACTACAACGTAGTTTTGCTATGTTGTATTACCCCGTCGTATAGTATGCTTTACTTTATCATGTTACGTTGTATTCGGTTGCATTGTACTTTACTCTGTAATATTGCACTCTGTCATATCATATATTTTATACTATAGTACATCATACTATCTTATTCTCTACTGCAGACTATACTGTATGCGTTTAAGTCATATTACACCCTATTATATGGTATCACATGTTCGTACCCTGTACTATACCGTCCTGCCTATACTGTACTATACTGTACTAGACTGTGCAAAAATTCACTGCACTATACTATACTGGACTTTACTCTATTCTACAGTACATCACGCATCATTTGCTTTTAATTCTTCACTAAATGGCACAGGTGTTCTGCTAGGCATTTCGTATTTCGATTTTGCATTATGCATTCTGTTTTACGTACTACACATGTTCATGTGTATATATGTGTATATACACACACTGTTCTGCCTTGCGAACTATAAATTATACATGACATATTCAGATGTTATATAACATCTGATATGTAATACGTAAACAGTACGTCAGAAAAGGACATACATAGTATAATGTATGTACATATATGTATATGTACTATACAGCTTTGCTATACATGTAAAGACAATATGTATAGATATGATATGTGCTATAAGTTACAGATTGTATATTGCGTACCGTACGTCACACATTATATGTTTTATGCTACATGCTGTAAACTATAATCCGTGTTGTGTATTACATGTCATATGTTGCAGATTATACACTATATACTTTAAACTCTATAATGTATACTATGTACTATAAGCTATATTACTTAACTATGTGTTATATAACATATATTCCTATAACCCCAAACCGTGAGCCTTTCCACCCGAAACCGTCAACCCCAAACACTTGCCCATAGCAAGCTGGGCAAAAGATAAGCTGGGAATTGGGAAGCGGATCGGTGCACGTTGCGGTAAGATGGGAGTCCCAGAAACTGATAGAATATGGCACCCTGCATTCTACCTAGTAGGATCCTTGTTATAGAGTTGTTAGATGCGTTGTAGAACCCTACATAGCAGGGCTTCTTATTCTTATCAGGAGGACCCAGAAAAAAGGGTAACCTAGTTTTCTGAAACTCCCAGATGTCCGTCATGAGCCTGAATCTCTACAGAGCGCTAATCATTCAAGGCCCGTATACGAAAGCTCTAGAAACCCTAGAACTTCCCGAAAATTGAAAACCCGTTTACGACCTTTTTGAAGAAAAGCGAACCCCAGATACCTCGACGGAGGAGGCGGTGGTGCCGGCGGAACCGGTGGTGCTGGCGGTGGGGGCCGCGGGATATCTGGCAGAGGCTTTGGGCGAGGATTTGCCTGGAACCGAAAAGACCTACGTACTGAAGGAACTATATATAGAAACCCAGATAAGGAACCCTGCAAAGGTAGGTCTTTTCGGTTACAGGTGGGTTGTCAGGAGTAGGGGTCTAATTAGGGTTTATGGTTTCGGATTCGGGGCATCGGGTTTCGGGGTTGAGGGTGTACCGCGAGGGATTTCATGGAAAAGTTCTGAGGCGCAGGACGGCGACAGTTGCCCGTGGGGAAGTACTGAAGCTTGTCGAACTAAGGCTCAAAAGAAAAATGCTCTGCAATCACACAATACCACAGAAGGCAATAACAACTAATATCATATTGTATCACATCTCATCACGTAATGTATGAGTCTCCAAAAACAGCATTTGGTTTGAGGCCTCGCTCAAACAGATAGCCTTTAGGGTTTGGGCTTTAGTCTTTCCTGGCTGCCTTCGTGGCCGCACTCTCCTCACGAATAATAAGTGCAACAAAAATCATAAGAATGAAAACAATAAGATTTAATTACGATGATGATAAGCATATAAACATATGGACACATGGAAATAAGAAACAAGTGACAACAACCGTACACCGAACAAAACTTGAGCCGAGAGGCTCAAGCCGGGGGAAGTCGCCGTTTGGGAGGGCGCAGGCGCAACTTGAGAAGTCGGGGGCGGGTCCGAAGTCGTTGGGGCTGTCGGGGTGCCTGCGACAGCCGGTGTGGAAGCTGTGGCCGGAGTGGTTGGGGTGGCTGTGGTGTTTGCAGTTGGTGCGGGCGTGGATGCAGGTGCAGGCGTCCCCGCCGCTGCGGGAGCTCCCGAACTCTGTGGGGCAGCGGCCACTGTGGACGCCAAGCTTTTGGAAGCCGAGGCGGCGCTGTCGGTCGCAGCGGTGGGAGCGGTGCCAGCTTTGGCCTCAGTGGCACGGAATGAGCTGAAGAAGGGCTAAAAATGTCTCAAAGCTCACCCCACAAATGGCCTTGGCTTCCTCCTCCTCGCCACTTGGAGCCTCCCAGCACAGCACAGCACACATTACACGGGACTCAGCTCTCTCCCAGCCCTTTGCGGCACCTCAGTGACTTCGCTGTCACTTGCCGCAGCCGCAGGCTCCGCCTTCAACCGCTCTCCGGTTTCAGACCATGCCATCCCTGGTCCTAGAATCCTGAGAATGCCGAGAATATATATATATATATATGTATATAATAATAATAATAATATATACATATATATA